CAATTTGAGAAAGAGTGAGGGGCAGTGCGTCCGGTGGGTTTTCGCAAAAAGAAGTTGGAAATTTTTCTTTGTGGGAATTGTTCGCGAGAGCTAAAAGGAGCGGGGCATACTGGTAAGAGTAAGAACCGGAATAATCCCGTTTTTTGGGGGTTGGAAGTGAGCGAGAAAATTCTTTGTTTGGGGTGTGTGAAAAGCAAGTATTACGGATTAATAAGTAGGGAGAGAAAAAAGGTGCTACGGAAGTATTTGGGGAGGGGGTATGTTTAAGGGAAAATTTGCGTAAGGTAATTACTCTGTAATTAATTTTAGGCAAGATAGAAAAATTACGCCCATTGAACTATATCCGTAGAATAGCATATTAGGGGAGAAATAAAAAATGATTAGTTTTGTATCCTTCTACCTACTATAGAATAGTTCCTGATTAAATTAGTGTTAGGATCTATTTCTACTCTAGCTTCGTATTCATTTTGTCCTCCACTTTGTTCTATTAATTGATCGAGGGTTTGACCTACTCCTCTTACTGCTTGCTCGTTGTTTAGAGAAAGATTTCTTACTAAATTAGTTAGTTCTATGTTAGCAGTAGGAGGGGGAGGAGGATAAAACGCTATAGGAGGAGATGCCGGAGTTGAGTGTGCAGTTGGTGTATTTCGCACTCTAGGAGGATTAGAGGCTGTAACTACACGTGTATTTGCATTTGGATGTTCAGGGCAAAGTCTATTGGTTAAAGAACAGCACCCTTCTGCAAGCGAAATAAAAATTACTAAAGAACTTACTATCACAACAAAAAGGTATAGAGGTGAATTTGCCCTTTGCTCCTCAGTAGCATAGTCATCTATTGATCCAAGATAAAGTAAAATACCAAAAATAATCCCAGGAACAGAACCACATAACAGCAAAGGTCACACGAATTTAACAAACTTTAAAAATCCCCTACATGACATGACAATGATTTTTTACCAATTATTTAGAAATAAACCGTTATTTTTGGGAGGATTTGGAGGGAGTAATTATAGGATAATTAGGAGTTGGTGATTAGGTTGGGATTTTAAGAAAAATTTTGTTAGTTAGTAAATTTCTTTACGATGACCAACTTTTACTACTATGATTACCAGTTCTGAATTTTTTATTTCATAAACAATTCGGTAATCACCATAACGATAACGATATAATCCCCTTTTTTCCAATAAACTTATTTTAAATATACCTTGGTCTGTCTTGGAGACCAATATATTTACATGAAAGATATTATATAAGTATTTTACCCTTACTAACCCTGTTTTATTCCCCCTATTGTCCCCCAGATAAATTATAAATCCCCCCAGACCCCCCAAACGCCCACCTGTGGGCGTTTAGAGCTTTTACCCCCCCCCCACTGCCTAGCGAGGGTTTTGCTACCTTTCTTATTTTTAATTCTTTGGTATAACAATATGTGCTTGTGAGCGTTAGCGAGCAACTGCATATTATAAGAGAGAGAACTCAAAAGGCAGAGAGAGAAAAAAGGGGGTGGAAATTTTAAAATTGCTCGCAAAAATTTCATGCTTTTTTTTACCTGGTTGTGGAGGAGTAAAAAGGAGCTTGAAGTCTCGGCCGCAGAGGGATATAAGGGTTTAACGGGGTTTAACAGAATGAGAAAAAAGGGGTATTCTCCCCCTTATAAAAATATAAAAAATTAGAAATTTTTAAGGGTTTTGTTCTTTCCCCTTGTTCTCAAAGAAAAGTAAGAATAGTTAAACGACCTCCAAACTCGGTAATTTATCTTAAATGCCAGTGAGTAACATTTCTCACCAAGTTTAGTTTCAAAGGTTTATTTGAAATCACTCTAAACGCTGTTTTCTGGCAGGCTCCGTTTATTCGGACATTCTAAACCGAATGTCTTTTGGCAAAACTAATTTGTATAAATATAGTAATGGAATAAATCGTGTGGTGGTGGTTTACCCATTCGCTAGTTTGAGTTGTTAAAACTCGGACTAGTGGGAATTTACCTAATTTCCCAAGTAAATAATATTTGACATATTACTTAGTTGGAGAATTAGTAATTAACCCGTTTTTCACGGATTAATTAACTACCATCACCTTTTACTTTCTTTTTATTCTTTTTCTTTTTCTCGGATCCGTTTTTTTCTTGCTTCTCTAACTCCGTTTTTTCCTCATTAATCGGATCGGTTTTTTCGTCTGAAATTTCGGTTAAATTTTCTGGCTTGCTTTCGTTATTTTTTGGTTGCCCCATATTTACCACTACATTTATCGCTTCTCGGGTTTT